GAAGAAAGAATCAGTCTCAAGACTCATTGAAATGCAAAGTTCAAGATTTCAAGTCAAAGGAATAGATCTGTTCCACGTGAAAAGCTGGATAGAGTTCTTGATACATGTATCTCATTGTTGCTGACCTTTTGCCGTTCATCTTGCCCTACTTGAAAGGCTTCAGATGGAGGAAGGCATGGGAACCAGTGAACAACTTCCCGTGGGTGAGGGAAGTGATAATGAGGCTGCCAGTGAGGAAGTCTTTGATATTACATGCAATGGCACTGAGAGCGATGGTGACCAAGTGCTAAACATTGAGGCCAATGAGCTTGGAACTACTGCTGGGCAAATTCTTGAGTTTGAAAGCCATGAAGCTGAGAAAAACTGTGAGCATGTGCTTAATTTTGAAAGCGGTGTCCCAAGGGACAATAGTCATCGGTTATCTGAGTTTCATAGTAATGGCCTTGAGGATCCAAGATGTGGTGATACAGCAATTAATGATTGTCACACTGGTTCATCCCTGGGAAAGTCTTATCCCCCTCCGGTTGTCGGCATGGAATTTGAATCTTATGAGGATGCTTATAATTATTACAACTGCTATGCTAAGGAGCTTGGTTTTGCCATCAGGGTGAAGTCTTCATGGACAAAACGCAACAGTAAAGAGAAGCGCGGTGCTGTTCTCTGTTGCAATTGTGAGGGTTTCAAGACAATGAAAGAAGCAAATAGCCGAAGAAAAGAAACAAGGACAGGTTGCTTAGCGATGGTAAGGTTGAGATTGGTGGAGTCCAATAGATGGAGGGTGGATGAGGTTAAGCTTGAACATAACCATCTCTTTGATCCTGAAAGGGTGCAAAACTCCAAGTCACACAAAAAGATGGATGCAGGGGTTAAAAGGAAATTAGAGCCAGCAGTTGATGTGGAAGTGCGAACAATTAAGTTGTACAGAACTCCCGCTGTTGAGACATCAGGCGAGGGAAGCTCAGATGAGAGAGCAGCCAGCAGCCAGATTGATGGGTCCACACGTTTAAAACTCAAAGAAGGTGATACCCAAGTCATATACAACTTCTTCTGTCGGATGCAGCTTACGAAGCCAAACTTTTTCTACATTATGGATTTTGATGATGAAGGGTATCTAAAGAATGTGTTTTGGATTGATTCCAGATCAAGAGCGGCATATGCTTATTTTGGTGATGTGGTTGTGGTCGACACAACATGCTTGTCAAAAAAATATGACATCCCGCTTCTAGCATTCTTTGGACTAAACCACCATAAGGAGACTCTTTTGTTGGGCTGTAGTTTGCTTGCTGATGAAAGTTTTGAGACATATGTTTGGTTACTGAGAGCATGGCTATCGTGTATGTCAGGACGCCCTCCACAAACTATCATCACAGATCGCTGCAAAGCCTTGCAAAATGCAATATCTGAGATATTTCCCCGGGCTAACCATAGGCTTAACTTGTCAATTATTTTGGACAGCATTGTCAATTCAGTAGGGGAAGTGGGGGAATCAGAAGTATTCCATGAGGTACTGTATAATACAGTGTATGGCTCTCTTAAAATTGATGAATTTGAAGTTGCATGGGAGGAGATGGCACAGCGATTTGGATGTGGGGGCTATGGGTGGTTTCAAAGTTTGTATGACGATCGAGAACGATGGGCTCCTATTTATATGAAAGATACATTTCTGGCTGGAATATCTATTGATCAGAATGGTGAGTTCATGTGTCCCTTCTTTGATGGATTTGTACATAAAGAAACAAATTTGAGAGAATTTTTTGACATATATGATTTTGTACTGCAAAAGAATCATCAGAAGGAAGTTGTTTGTGATCTTGATTCAAAAGAATTTAGCCCCGTCCTGAGAACAAGGTGCAATTATGAGTTACAGCTCTCCAAATTGTATACTAAAGAAATATTTCTGAAGTTCCAAGAGGAGATGGATTTGATGTCTAATTGTTCAGGTATAGCACAAATTCACACCAATGGACCCATCATCACATATATGGTTAAAGAACGAGGGGTTCAAGGAGACATGAGTGATGCAAGAGATGTTGAAGTTACTTATGATAAAATAGGGGTAGAAGTTCGATGCATGTGCAGTTGTTTCAACTTCAGAGGCTATCTCTGCAGACATGCTTTATCTGTGCTCAACTACAATGGTATAGAGGAAATCCCAAATCATTATATATTGACTCGCTGGAGAAAAGATTTTAAACGCTTGTATGCACCAGAACTTGGCTCAAGCAACATAGATATTAGTAACCCTGTTCAACTGTTTGATCATTTGCACAGACGTGCCATGCAAGTAGTTGACGAAGGGATGGTTTCTCAACATCACTATATGGTTGCTTGGCAGGCGTTTAAGGAGTCCTTGAATAAGGTTCGTCTTGCAGCGGACAAACGTGTATCATAGTGAACTAAGTTGAGGTTTAACAATTTGTGTAGTTTCTGAACTTTTTTTTGTCCACACATCATTATGTATAGTGAGTGCATTACTGCATTTAAAGGCCTTGCTTATAGAGGAAGTTCTAGTTTTATTATTTCATGCTTTCAGCAACTAAATAAACTCAAGACAAGTTTTAAACAGAAATAATACAAATGTTATCCAAAACCCTTACACTTAAACAAAAATCTTTTCCTTTTCTGTATGATAAAACATCAGTTGCAACAAATGACTCTCATTACAATATAGATTTGCAACTTTGCAAGCAAACATTGTTGAAATTCTATTTGAATTTAGTAAATAATTAATGAGTTCAAACATCATTAATTATTTTCTAAAATTATTTTCACTTTTTAAAAATCCATACGCTTCATATTAGTTGTCCACGTTACGAAAAAATAGTTATTTTAAATAATTTGCTCTTAATTTACAAAATTAAAAGAGAACTGACGTTCATATTTTGCCCTTAGAATTAGTACTACTATTCAAAAATACTCCTATATAAAATATTGTTCTTTGTTTCCTTTTTATGAAGCTTAAAATCAACTATCGCCATTTTTTTTGCTGAAAGACAACGTCTGCCGGTGGCTCAGGTGTGAAGTTTTATCTGAAATTGCAGGTTAAATTTGTTTAATGTTCTCAACAAACTTGCACTGTACATACCCAATTAGCTATTGTAGTTTTGTATGAAATTTCCGATCTGTGCTCAGATAGTATAGGGCGCCCACGTGGTGTTCGCCGGGTGCTCGAGCACCCATTAATTTCGTTACGAAATATATATATATATATATATCTATGTGGAAATTGAGGTATTTGTATAAAATTAACATAGAGCACTCAATGAATAAATGATTTCGTTGGTCCAATGACTCCTGGATGGATGGGCTTAAGACTTTTTTAGTATTATTGTACCAAGGTTCAAATCTCATTGTTAATACATATTTTTTATATTTTCAGTTTAGAGCACTCATAACCTTAAATTCCTAGATCCGCCACTGCTTTTAGTGAGCTATATCTCCTTAATTTTCATCTGTAAAAATGTCTACTTCCAGTTTTCCATTGTTTGAGTACCAAATATAAACTTCCTATGATTATTTCTATCATGACCTGAATTTCATTCTTTGAATTTGAATCTTTTTTCTTTTTCGAGCGAGGATGTTGATATTCCCTTTTGTAGTACTGTTCAATTCATGTCTATTTTTAAATGTAGTTCAAATTCTGTGAATTTTCTTTTCAGTAGGATGATAAATTAACCTATCTATTTCCTTTATGGGGCAGAGTCTAACTTGAAAGGTTATCTATTACTTTTTATACTGATATAAATTCTAAGTGCTGTTTCTTTCTTTTGGGTAGGCTTGAGGTAAACCTGTAGTATGTGGTTGCCCAAAGATACTTTAGTATGCGAGTTTATTGGGAGATTTAACTAGTGCTTGTATCGACAGCATTATATACTCTGAAGCTTCTTGGATATAGAAACAGGATGAGAAAGAACAACTTAAATAAACATATATTACCGTGTCTGGTCGCCTATATTCTTTTCACCCTCATTACTGACTGAAAAGAGTTTGGTTGAAATATGTGAAGTGTTATACTTGGATAGTTTATGCTCATATATCCCAGTGTGGAAGAAGATAAAGTAAGCATGCAAAGGAGTAAAGTACTTTAGTAATAGTGAGTTGCAGTCCTATATATAGTGGACTTGCCATGGAAATACACAGTTCATTTTAATAAATAATATTAGGGCCAAAAGGAAAATAAAAACAATGCTCTAATGGAGGTGATATTTAGAAGATCATGCTGGCAGACGAGTTTTACGTTTATGTATGTCAAGCAACATGGACAATTCAATGATAGTATGTTGTGGACTATCTCATTTTTCCTGTTGGTCGATTGAGTGGTTCTATCTATATAGTCTCTAGTTATGCATCTATTTCTTCTCACTGTGAAAGTAAAGAAGAAGTCACATTGATTGTAAGTTATCTCTTATAAGGAGAAAAATTAGCCTACATAACAGCAATATTAATTGTTGATCAGTTCTTTTTCCTGTTCAGTCTTTCACAAAATTAGATGAACTTTTTTCCTTCGGGTCTTTGCCTGTGTATCGAAAGTTAGAAACTAAGAAGTAAGTATAATGTTGAAATGGATAAATGGCAGCTATATACTCTTCTTTTTTACAACCTTATGGCTTTCTCATACATCAGGCCAATATTGAAGTTGAAAGCTTGACCAGTGTAAGCAGAATTTCTTATATTGTAAAGTACAACTCTAAGTCTTGTAAAGGAGAACTCCCATCGGAAAACATACTTATTTCCTGGATTGAAAGACACATCACAATATTATGCAGTAACTATATTCCCAATAGCACTAAGCCTGTCATTAGATCCACAGTTGGGGGAGAAATACATCTGGAGTTTTTTTCCTTATTGACATCATTATCTAAAATTGATGTTTTCGCTCTATGTTTCACTTTCTTCTTCTTCTCCCGCATTCCACTCTAAGGGTTGTTTTGACCACCTTTGATCTATCCTCTTCTTAATATATTAAAGAGCTTGACGTCGATGCTTCTGCAACACTCCAAATGGATGGTCTTTCACTCAATGCTTCCATCTTTGAAGATGAAACTGAGGAATTCGATATTGATGGAGAGTGTGCGATGACAGAATACGCTGGTCATTCTGGTGTTCTTGAAGGCGAAAATCCTGTTCACCCAAATATTGGAATGGAGTTCGAGACATATGAGGATGTGTACTACTTTTACAACTGTTATGCTAAAGCGTATGGCTTCGGGGTAAGAGTGAGTAATACATGGTATAGGAAGAGTAGGGAAAGGTATAGAGGAAAACTAAGCTGCAGCAATGCAGGATTTAAAAAGAAAAGTGAAGCAAATCGGCCCAGACCTGAGACAAGAACTGGCTGTCCAGCTATGATCAAGTTCAGATTGACGGAGAACAAAAGGTGGAGAATAATTGAAGTTGAACTTGAACACAACCACCTCATTCATCCGTCAACTGAAAAGTTCTATAAATCTCACAGAAACAACAGCTCTGGGAGAAAAAGGCCCTTACAGATGACTGGTAATCAAGAAAATCATAAAATTAGGTTATTCAGAACTGTCATTATTGATCCAGATGATGATGGTGAATTCAGGAACATGATTGACCAGTCCAACAATCATTTGATTCTTAAACCTGGAGATGCTCAAGCAATTCTCAGTTTCTTCACTGATCTACAGTTGGTAAACCCTGATTTCTTTTATGTAATGGACCTAAATGAGAAAGGATGTCCGCGGAATGTGTTCTGGGCGGAAGCAAGATGTAAGGCCACATATGGTTATTTTGGTGACGTGGTTAAAATTGCCACTGCTTGTTTGATCTCAAAATATGAGGTTCCACTTGTGGTATTTGCTGGAGTTAACCACCATGGACAATCTGTGCCACTAGGCTGTGGTTTGGTTGCAGGAGAGACTGTAGAGTCATTTATATGGTTGTTGAGGGCATGGCTGACATACATGATTGGCCGCCCTCCACAGACTGTCATTATTGACCAATCTAGTGCTATGCAAACTGCTATTGCTGATGTTCTCCCGCGGGCATCTCATTGCATTTCGCTGTCGCATATCATGAAGAAAGTTCTGGAGGAATTGGGTGGGTTACACGCATAAAGTCATCAAGAAAGCATTTACTGAAGCAATTTCCCAATCATCAAGAATAGATGATTTTGAAACAGCTTGGGAGGACATGATGCTATACCATGGAATTAGGGACCATAAATGGCTCCAGACACTCCACGAAAATCGTAAACACTGGGTCCCTGTCTATTTAAAGGATACATTTCTAGCGGGGATGTTTGGTGTGACACTCGAGGAGAGAGAGGTTTCTTCTCCTTTTGATGAGTATTTGTCTGATCATACTCCCCTGAAGGAGTTCCTTGATGGCTATAACCAATGTCTGAAGGAAATCTATCAAAGAGAAGCACTGGCTGATTCAGAATCGAGGAATCCAAGTTGTATGTTGAAATCAAGAATTTATTTTGAAATGCAGCTATCGAAAATCTACACCAATCCCATATTTGTTAAATTTCAAATCGAAATAGAGGGAATGTTCTCATGTTTAAGCACAAGACAAATAGGTATTTGATGGGTCAATCATGATATACATTGTTAAGGAACGCGAAGTTGAGAATGTGAATGAAGCAAAAGATTATGAAGTTACGTTTGATACAGCTGTTGCTGATGTTCTTTGTGAATGTGGTTTATTCAACCTGAAGGGCTTCCTGTGCAGGCACACATCATGTGTTCTAAGTCAAAATGGTTTCAAGGAGATCCCACCTCAGTACATTCTTTCACGCTGGAGAATGGATATTCACCGTAGCTATGTTCTTGACTACGGCTGCAATTTTATTAACACCAAGAATCCAGTTCACAGGTATGATAATTTGTACAAATGTGCTGTGAAGTTGGTGGAGTAGGGGAGAAAATCACATGAACGATACAAAAGTTCACCTTAGAAGCGTTAGGGGAGATACTGAACAGACTTAGTTTGCAAGATCATAACACTCTTTAGCTTTTTAAGAAGAGCTGTGAAATATGTATGTAGGCATACTGAATGTACACTTGTAATATTTTCTTTAAAAACTGAATGAAAAACAGTCACTAGTGATATCTTATCTTTGATTTCTCAACAGCTTTTTAGGATCTTAATTATAGATTAAGATTTTAACTACGACTAACGTTCAGATTTATAACTTTATCTCTTTACAAGTGCCCGAGAGGAAATATTTATCATGGAAAAGGTAGATATAACTGAGTTTATAACACTTGGAAGAGCAGAAATGCTTAACTTTTGTGGTGGCCAATTAGTCCCACATCGGAAGAAGCTAAGAAGAAGACGGCAGAGAGCTGATATAAAAAGAAAGGCCAGACATCATATTTAAGCATACCTTTCTCGGCCTTTTGGCTAAGATCAAGTGTAGTATCTGTTCTTATCAGTTTAATATCTGATATGTGGGCCATTGGTCCACACGATATTAACTCAATTTTTTAAGGGGAAGGGCCCATCAAGGTAGCTTGCTACCCTGGACTCTCAAGCGTCGCCCATGCGTTGCACTACTGCACGGGCCTGGCGCACCCCACCAAATCTAGTTCAAATTTAAGGCTAACAGTTAAAGAAGCCCAGTATATATGTTCTTTTACGTTTTAATTGTATTAGTAATGTTAACTAGTAATGTTACTAATTGTATTAGTAAGTTTGTACTTTGGAGGACAGAAAATGATTGGTTGAACAATTAAGAATTCAATATTAGAAGACGTCTGGATTAAGTAAAGAATAATTGTTGACCAGCAAAGATGACCATGGAATCAGTAAAGTTAAAAACTGGAGTTACTTGTATCTCGCTTACTTAGAAGCTGAAGAAGTCTCCTTAAGATGGGGAGAATAGTTGAGTTCATGCGAGCAACAATAACGCTAATGCAAATAGTTGGGTTTTTTGTGTCACAATTTTTTATATTGGAAACTACATGGCTACTAGTTTAAATTGATGTAAACATGTTTTCACCAAACAATACTAGAGTGCATTACCGAAAGTTTATCTCGAAACCTTTTATCCATTATCCTTTAGCAAATGAGTAGCGAGTAATAACCTATTATATCAACGGAAATCTCAAGTGATAAAGTAGTATTTTTCAACCAAAAAAAAAAAAAAAGAGAAGAAAATCTCCAGTGTTTTCTAAAGAGGAAGTCCACCCTCAGATTCAGTAGTTCAAGGGTTTAAGCATTTTTTCGAAATTAAATGTTGAAGTGTCTCCATGCAAGGATCAAATGGCATTTAGTAGAGAGGTTTAGCATTTAAATATTAGTTGCAAGAACGTTGAACACTCTCTCTTCTATGGATGTTTCAATGTGCTAATAGCAGTACTAAATTTTCTATTAAGAGCATTGTGATTAGCTTCCATCTTTCTTCTTAGCCCATGTGCTAGCGTTTCCTCAAGGTGCATACCTTCTGTAGGAGTCTTTACCTTTCAAAAGTTACATCTCCCATCTCTTAATAAAATATTTCTTTATCCTTCTAAATCTTTAATTTTGCCACATTATTCTTTAAAAGTTTGTCCTCAGATCCAAAGACTTCTGAATAAGACTTGCATTAATGGCACTACTATCAGTAAACAAAAATAATTCTGATCTCTTGTTATTGTTGTAATTAAAAACACATCTCCATTTATAGTGCATTGATACAATAAAAATAATATATGAAGCTGCAGCTTGTACCTCGAGAGATATTGAGCAATCAAGTGCTTCAGCTGCTGCACTTTCTGGATCCTATCATCATTGTGCTCCTTTTGTCGTTCATGTTGGATGGCCACTAAACGTTTCATAATGATATTGTCTCGAAGAATCAGTTCTATTTGCTCCTTCAGCATCATATTTTCCTGGAAAAGAAATGGTGAATATTGAAAAATGACAGGCAAAGGTCAATAAACTAGTATGTCAAAAATGCAAATTTGCAAACATGACCAAATTGCTGTTCTCTTACTAGTGAAGCACTACAGTAGCCAGAAATCTGCTCATAAAATGCATTGAAGAACCAACAATATAGGCATCACCAAAATAGTTTTCTAGCTTAACTCCTCTGAGAAAATTAGTAAAGAAAAGTATGTTTGATAAAAATATCATCCGCAACTCCTTAGCAGGGAATTTGTTGTCTGGTATATCTATAGACTACAATATACTTAAATGTACAAATACCAACCTTCTGAAAATTTTGAGTTGCTTCTGCACTTGCACTAGCACTAATGGATTTCTCTAAGCTCTCCAACATTATTGCCGCACGAGCCCTAGCATCATCTGTACTTGTAGCATTCATCATTTCCCTCACAAACAACTCCACCCATTCTGTGCCATCAGCTGGAGGATCATTTAGGACAAAAGCAGTGTCCACTATACCTGCAAATTTTGCATGCAAATAAGATCCTTTCTCCACAATTGATGAAAATCTAGACTTGGTTAACAAGATGTGAATGAGCTGCTAAGTGAACTTGTCACACAAACATATTTTGGAACTTCTTTGCACCATTGGATGATTATCTTTTAACATTAGACATTTTCCTATATCACATACATGTTCTTCTAACTGCCATATATCGGCAATACATACAGTTAATTACTAGGCTTTTCCTTCTCTAAACTCCCTATGTTTCATTTTGACTGTTCGGTTTTTATGGACTAAAAAGGATAGTAAGAGAAACAAATTAAAACAAAGGGAATAATTCATATTCTAATTTATAACTTTAAATTGAGTTTTTAGTTAATCTATTTACATTTCTATTCATATCAGCAAGGTCATATACCATAAAATCATGTTGGAGAAGTAGCAATAAAAAAAATTGATAAAGAGAAGTAGCAAAATTAGAACGGGTAGCAATTATGAGGAACAGATGGAACCAGAAATTTTCAGAAAAAATGTCATGTCAATGACCAGTAAACTCCGTAGAAACCAATGTCATATCAGTGAGAACTAAACCCTATTTAGGAGTGATTGGGTTGATTAACCGGTCCCCTTTTTTCTGATGGAAGGGATATGGTTGACCTTTTTCCGGGAGCAATTTTGCAATCCTTTAGATAAACACTTACAAAGTCATCTACATTCATCTCACTCTATTCATAGCATTTCATTCCGATACAGAGAGTAGTTTACGTAAATAACTAAATGACGTTGAAAAAAAGCTACATAATTCTCCAACTAACAACATTTACAGCAACAAAAAATTCTAGTGCCAGATAAAGTAAGAGTATCATACCTGACAATCTACATCGCGAAACAAAGCTGTCAGATGATCAACGGAAGCTTCCTCTGGCGGCGGCGGCGAGAATCTTCTAGGAGAGGTTGAGGCACACCGGAGCTTCTTTGAAACAGGCGTCGACGGTGAAGTCGGCGACGACGATTGTAAATCATCGAAGAAGGATCTCTTGCCGCAAACCATCGCAGACATCGTATAATGTCCAAATCAAATTGAACTTTTACAGCAACACCTTCATCAATTTCTCAATCAAATAAATTTATCTGATTCTGTGATCGTGATATACTAAGCGAAGAGATAGGTTATTGAGATTCGAAGTTTTTCTTGTGCTGTAACCTTTTTCCTGTTCGCTACTTTGCTTTGTATTATATCCCTTCCGTTTTGGGCATAAAGTTGAGACTTTGGTGTGATGTTGATAGGGATAAAAGGCGGGTAAGAGGATAACAAACACGCGCCTAATGTCGCGTTTTTGAATATCTTTCCGATATATATATATATATATATATATATTTTGTGGGACATCAGGATATGTGGGAATTGGGATATGACGAGGAAGGAAGAGAAAATAAACATAATCTCACGGAAAGTGAAGTCCGGGTAAAGCCATGGGTTCATCGGAACTCTCTTCGATAAAAAATTATATAATATATATAGAGTAAAATTTCTATATTTATGTGAATACATATATATTTTGAACATTCTTAATGACAAGGAAAATAAGATAGCGTAATGGTAAGTTCCTTTGAAACTATACATATGTTCATGGCTAGCATTTAATTTTTTTAGTTTCAATTTTTTTTTTAGTTCCAGTCGCATTTTTATGTTTTTCTTTTTTTTAATAAAATATGCTAAAAAAAGATCACATTCCTTAAAAATTTGTTGGCTTATTATTTACATGTTAATATTTTTATTTTTCGAACCCCTTGAATGAAAATTCTAAATCCGCCATTGACGGGAGGTGCAGGTGTATGTAGATTGTACTTTTACTTCGTAGAAAAGAATGTCGTCTCTAATAGATACTTGATGAAAAATAGATTAAAGTAGTCTAGAAAAGGAAATAAAAAAATTATAAAAAGATAAGCGAGACTACACTCGACTACTTGTTAACCTACCACCTTATTTTGTGCATTCTAGATAAGATCATATCACATTATAAGCTAAAATTCATATCTATTCTAGTTACTTCTCTTCAATACTTCTTTGATCGATATATCCACTTCTCTTGAAATTATCTATTATCAATATATCAAACATCCGCATTGGCTATCCATGCATCTCCTTTTCATATGTTTGAAACATTTGAGCTTCACTTTTTTTTTTTGCATTTTATCCTCCATCTAAGCGATTCTTATCTATCACAAATATTTTCATTTCTAATTTTATCTCTTATATGATCATACATTTATCTCAACATTTTCATTTCCACAACTTTCATCTTCAGTAAGTTCTAGATTGACCAGCACTCTACATCATACAAACATAGTTAATCTAATCACCATCTCGTAGTACTTGTCTTTAAATTTTGGAGGAACGTTCTTAACACTCAGAATGTGAGCCTCTATTTCATCTACCTTGCTGCACAAACACAATGTGTGACATATATCTTCCTCACAAAATGAATGACTTCTATGGTATGCATATGAATATGTAGAACCAATCAGACATGATTCATTCTCAGAAATATTGAATCACATAAGCCATTTATTTTGTAAAGAAACTAGTTGAGCAGTCAAACTAAGTGACATGATCTTATTTGATTGGTTGAAACATGCACGTGACACATTCTTATTAATATTTTATTATAATTGACATGCTATTATCATTTTTCACATGTTATGTGATTCTATTAACTCATTTAAATGACTTATGTGGCATGTCATGTTATATGTCACACTAAATTGAATCTTTAGTATAAGATGATATCTTGAGTTTAGTAAGTGGCTCATCATTTATATACCAAACTGACGGACTAACCCAATAAAATTGACCTTCCATTAAATCTATATTATTAGAGTAAAGAATATCAAATCACAAATATTTATCTAGATTGATATAAATTTAAATTCAATAAAATTTGGTTATCTAGAGGGACAAACAAAAATTTCAAAAATGTTTGCTCAAGTAATAGTTTTCTTCAAAATGTTCTCTCAAGTCACATCCAAACACTTAACAAACTGCCAAAATGCCCGTTTTGCCTCTACTAACTTTTCCAGTAACCATAGATCTACCTTTTCTTTTTGTCACCTTCCAACTCTTGAATTGTCAGTGTTAAATCAAATCACTATTGTCTACTATAGTTATTAATTAAAATAAAGATTAAGGCAATAATATGTACTTTAGTAATTAATCATAACTAACAATAAAAGTAAACATTAATTAGTTTGATAGGAACATTAGTGGTGAAAAAATTAAAACACTAATTAATTTTTATCGATAATATACGCCCGCGCGGTTTCATTAAAGTGAATTAACTGACAGCGCGTGTTGAAGTAAATTCGTACTCCTACTTAAAAAACGTGACCCTGCTAACGGTCATCTCTTTAAAAAACCGAAAGCCTCTCAGTTTCTGTTTTCAGTCACTTATTTCCCCTGTTTAAGCCAAAAAAAAAAAACTGCAAGGATTTTCGAAGCGAGCTGATAATGGTGAAGATTATAGCGTGCTTTCAGTTGCAAAATCGGAGTTCTAGGGTTTGGACTCCATTTCCGCTAAGCAAAAGACTAGTTCGGAGTTTTGGTTACCGCAAACTTCCTGAACAGCTACTCAATATCTCCGTTCTTAAATTGGATGGCTCTTCATTCGGTAAGTGAGATTAATATTTGAGTAGTAGTTTATTTTTTGTTGCATTTTTTTGGTGGTATAATTATGGCTAATGCTGGTTGTTTGGCTGGAATTTTGAATAGTTATACATGTAGCAAGGAATGCTACAGTAGCAGACCTTAAACAAGCAGTTGAGGAAGCTTTCAATTTTTCGCGGGAGGATGAAGGCAAGATTCTATGGTATGAATGAGACCTGATTATTTCTACAATGGTTGCCTGTAGCTTGTTGCTTTTAATTTGATTCACTTTCACATGCATGAAAAAGGGGGAATGCTTATGTAATAGACTGCAATTGTGAATCCACTTAGATCCGCCTTTGACGAGGAGGTATCAATCATCATATTGTGTTGAACTGTATTTAACAGTTAAAAAATGAACAAGACACTCATTAGATATGTGCTGTGATAATATGATTATGGGAATGAGTTAAAACTCTACAATTTTTTGCCAATAGTTAAGAAGTTCTAGAATTGGTAATTTAATAGAAGGTCTCATCACTTCAGCTTGCTTGCAAATAATTGGTATTTGAAGTTTTCTGTGACGATGATTGCAAACATGTTAATGCAGAATGGCTGAAAATAAAAAGAATAAATTGAATTTAAGGAATTGTTGGTCGTCTGTATTGCTGCAAATATGATAGATCTTAAAGTTGTATTGCCTATTGATGCAGGTCACTAGTGTGGAGTCACTTCTGTTTGTGCTATGGAAGTCAAAAACTTGTGAACGACAAAACTTTTATTAACTGTTTTGGTATGAAAGATGGTGATCAGGTCAGTAGTTTTTCGTATTGTTACTGATTGGGAATCTAAAATACAGCTTGTTTCTAACTTCTGAGTACCTCTTTTTTCCATTATCAAAATTCACTAGGTAAACACATCTATGTATAATGTATTAGTGGCTTGTGGTAGACTAACTTGTTTTCTTAATTCGAATCGACTGACACGAGGAAAAGGAAATAGTACTATATTTGATGAGTTTGGTTAGATGGTGGGTAGCCATGCGGGGCTCTTATGTAGTCAGGGCTTGAAGAACCATATACATTTTCTGGACTAAAGCAAAGTATTTTTCTATAAGTATATAATTTTTCTTGTCTTCAGCCCCATGATATTTTTGGATCTTCGAACTACAATTAATTAATGAGTGTTGAGAAAAGAATTAAATGATATAAGTGTGATCTCTCTAGCAACTTAAGTTTTTATATGAGAATTGAGATGGTCCACACTTCATTATGGTATCAGAGCCTGCAGAATTCCCGAGATCGAATATTTCCATGTGCTTTTGGCCCATGAAAAAGTATCACACTTGCATGTGAGGGTGTGTGTCGAGAATACAATTAAATGATAGAAGTGTATTCTCTTTAACAACTTATACTTTTAACTGAGGTGATCACGCACTTCATCAATGAGCAACCAAGGTTTTGTGCCTATCTATAGCAAGTTCATATGACAAAACTAAGCTAGAAAGTTGAACATTTTCAAGTGTTTGGTGAAAGACGATTTAATGGTACAGTCTTATGAGGGGAATCTCAGATAAGGTAGTACATTCTAGTATTGACAACAATGGTGGCTATTTTCCTAGTGAGGTTACATGTGGATTTGAGGCATAAGAATTGATAAATGTTGTTAGTTACGGTTTACTATAAGCAATGAAACATTCTATCTGTACTGCTGTACCCAGCACTGCTCTGTGTTTTGCACACAAACACACATATACAGTCACACACACAAACAGTCAAATGCACACATATGATTTGAATGCTTCATAATCAAGCTCTTGCTAATTATAATGCTCCTGTGAACTTCGAGAATGATTTCTCAATACACTAACTACATTTTATGCTTCTTACCTTTACTTCTTTTTGCTTGGAGTCTGCAGCTTCAATTTGCACAGCATGTCACGTTGGAGTACAGGCCAGCTAAACAACGACTGGATAACCAATGTGACCAGTCCAAACAATGCTCCATGTATGTCCACCTTTTGTATCTTTGAATTTACTGGATGCTTTATCTCACTTCATCAACAAAATAGATGCTCGCTGTAAGGGCATGCCGAAAAAATTGTGACCTTTCTTTACTGTAGATGGCAAATTTAACGGACTTGAACACATAGTTGGTACCCCTTCATCGTTCATATGTACGTTATTTTTTTGATGCCTCAATTCCTCCCTACTCCACCACAATCAGACATTTTAATATAAAGTTAGCTATTAGTCAAGACATGAAACCTGGTTGCTTTCCTTTTTTTCTTTTGCCTGGATGTTAGTGAACCATCTTTTGCTACTTAGTCACCCAAAATCGTATCCTCCAAAAAGGGGGTAACATGAAATTCACTGAATTTTGGGAAGACTAATCCATAAAAAGAGGCTGATATTTTGTCTTAGCTGCTAAACTAAAGTGAGAGACGTGTTGATAGTGAAAGAGCTAAGTTGCAACCAGGTAACCAACAAATAACTGATGTTTCAACCAGGTACACATATTGGGCTTAATACATGTATCATATCTGTTTGTTTACACTTGCTTAACCGTTACATAGCAGAAATTCAGTATGTACTCACTACACTTTTCATCTGTCATAGAACAGAACTTAAGTGGCACCCTAACCATTTCTATTCCAGTTTGGATGCTCATGAAGTGAACATTGAAGATAATGGCAACATTGACCACCAAGAGAAGAGCAAAAAGGTTGGTGATTTTCAAGACGAGGATGCAATTCCCAAACCAGAATTCAAGCGGTCACATTTTTTAAGAAGATGGTTATCTCAATCAACATCTTGGATACCAAAAAAGAAAGCCTTAGCCTAACCTAGACAATCCCTTCACTTTGCTACCGGGTGCGTCTGTCTAACTTTGAATTAACTAGGGCTGAGAAACTGGTCAGTTAAAGTTAAATGGTGTCTTATATACTGTTGAATATGAGGATCTTTAGATATATTCTTATTTGTTTATTGAATAGGTTGTCAATCCGAAGTTGTTACTGCTAATTCAATTATTATTATGGCTTTGGATGCTTACCCAATTACTCATAATCTCTTCTTCTTGCAGATGATAGCAGCTAATTTCTTGTTCATAGAGAAATATACATCATAATTCCATACGCCCTCTTTCTGTTTCTTTTACCTTCTAATCCACTAGACAAAGTGCTAGGGTGGACCTAAACGAGGCTCCCTCCGTCCTATTTTACGTGATACTTTTTAAATTTTAAATAAATTAATTTTTTATCATAAATTTTTTATAAATATTTTAACATTTTAAATTATAATATATTTTGATTTATTATAATATTTACGTAATTTATAAATATATAAAATTTATTTATAAATTTTTAATTAAATTTAAATTATTTAACTCTAATTGAAAAATACTTAACTAACGATAAATGGAAAGAGAAGGAGTATTTGATAATTGCCATTTCATGATTCATGATGGAAGTTTCAGATACAAATTAATTGGAATAAGAATAACAAGTATTCATTATAAAAAAAGACTCTAAAAACTGTTTTGGTACGTAGGATTGGATAGACCAAAATATCCGTGATATTATTTTATTTAAGTTTTTATATGTGACGGTAAAGATAAAGTTAGATTTTGAGCAAGAAATTTAAAATATAAAAAAATACTTACAGACAAAAAGTTGGAACGAATGTGTAGAGCCTTGCTAACACCTCCGGCTCTAACAGGAGTTTTACTATCATGATACAAATAATACTTCGAATTAAATTAAATATGAGATAAATTTCCACGTACCAAATGACCCAACTGGATAGGATCGGTGTATTGCTCAAGAAGCAAGCACCACGTAGCAAACAAAATAACAAATGGCACTCTTCTCTTTTTCATCCCCTAATGCTGACACGTATTAAGCCACATATGAACCTATATTAGTGCACTTTCAGTTTTTCAACTTCCTCTTTGTTTTCACCCAGCACACAAAATTTTTTTAAAAAAATACTCATACAAACAAAATGCAGGCAACAGCGGAGATACAAGCGGCGGGAAGCCCTCGTAGATCCCAGAAGCATCAGATGCTTAAAGACAAGCAGGTGAAGGATCTAATTATTGATAAAAGGAGACTTGTGGAGGTTCCGTATACAGCCACGCTGGCAGATACAATAAACACTCTGATGGCTAACAAGGTGGTGGCGGTTCCGGTGGCTGCACCGCCTGGGCACTGGATTGGCGCCGGCGGTTCTATGATTTTGGAATCTGATAAACAGACGGGTGCTGTACGAAAACATTATATAGGGATGGTAACTATGCTTGATATTCTCGCATATATTGCTGGAAACGGTTATCGTGATGATGATGATGATCTTACGAAAAAGATGATGGTTCCTGTTTCTTCGATTATTGGGCATTGTCTTGAAAGTCTTAGTTTGTGGACCCTCAGCCCTAACACAAGGTATGTAACGAGGAATTGAGATCTCTTGGCCGCTTACAAAAATAAAAACTGATGTTCTCCTCATGGGTAAAAATGAAGAGGAGATCACAGAACTAAGAAAATTAAGAAATTATTATGAGTAACCTACAAAATGAATCCTGTAGAAAGTAGTGGATGTTGTTAGCAAATACTTTTAATCTATCAAATTGGAATCGGAGTAAGGATTTTTATAATTATGATTACTTCAATAAAGTCCTTGCTGCTATTTGTCAAATGAATTTTGGATATTCAAGGTATTATCTAATTTTGCAAATGTATCTTACGAATTGATTCTTTATATGTGAAGTATTGTGGATTGTATGGAAGTTTTCAGCAAAGGCATACATCGAGCCATGGTACCAGTGAATGGACGATTAGAAAATGTAGTTGGCGTTGAGCTCACCGAGTCAGCGTCATGTTACCGAATGCTAACACAAATGGATCTGCTTAGGTTTTTGAATGACCAGCAGGAGCTTAAAGCGATCATGTCGCACAAGGTCTCGGATAAACAACTCCAAGCAATCACAGACACTGTTTTCGGTGTGACTAATAAGGCGAAAGTTATCGATGTGATCAAATGCATGAGAACAGCTTCACTAAATGCAGTACCAATTGTGGAGTCATCCAATGACATAACAGAAGATCATACTCAGCTTGTGAATGTAAGTTAAAACATTTAGTCTCACTCGTTTGAATTTAATTTATATATATACCTCTTAACGATATCAGGATTATTGTTTTCTATGAAATATACAGGGGAAAAAGAGGAAGATTGTAGGAACATTTTCAGCAACGGACTTGAGAGGCTGTCCTGTATCGAAAATGCAGCCTCTATTGAACCTAGAGGTCCTCGATTTCTTGAAAATGCTGTCGGGAGCTCCTAATACCGGGCTGAGATCTTCATGGAGGGAACAAGTGACATGCCGCCCCGAATCGTCACTCGGGGAAGTGGTAGAGAAAGTTGTTTCAGACAATGTGCATCGTGTTTGGGTGGTGGATGAACAAGGCTTGCTGGAAGGAGTTGTATCCCTAACTGACATGATAAGAGTCATCAGGCTCTGGTATCTTACTGAGTTTTTGCAGTGATGTGTAGTTGTTGTACGCACTCTTTTGCACCCGTTTTGTTCTGGTTGGTGTTTTGGTGTATAAATGAAATGCAATCTGTTTATCAAATGATCAGTTCTCATTCTGAAAATTTGTTTTGTGTCTTACACAAGCGACCCTAAAGGAAAACAATAGGTACTACTAGATTGAAATTTTTCTACCATATCGCTTTCATATAATTATTAATGAACACTACTCTTATGTTCCGGGGACAAACATAAAGCTTGTAACCTATATAAATGTATTGAAGAAAACAACTTCATACATATTCATGAACTTTGCTCAATAATCAATATGCTCAAAAATGTGCCAAAGGATCAAAATCCAAATAAAAGTAAATAGTTTGTAAAGAGCAGCTCTCTCGTATGAGATGATGATAAAGTAGTACTCCGTTATTATCCTTAAACAATGTTTCAAGTTCTTAACTTTGATTTAGTTAATTAAATTATAGCTTAGCAGAAATTTGACTTTTGTTTTGGTCTCTAATTTCTCATTTTCTCTGATATATTTGAAGTCGTCAATCCAAAATTTTACTTAATTAAGATACTTATGATTATAGTAAATTGAATTAGTTCGGTATATAAATAATCGGTGGGAGTAATTGAATAGAAAGTATTTACCATAAGAATTAAACTAATAGCCCTTTAATCTGTTCCTTCTATTCCTTGTAAACCAAATCTGCATTTTTTCCTTCCATATTAGATATTCAGTATGATTTTTTTAGCTTGAAAGTGAGATCTGAGGATCGTTTTCGAATCTCCGTCATCGGATTTCCATTAATACTGATCACATTTCGGAGAAAGACATATGCCGTTGGATTAATACAATTATTGGTGGTAACATCATAGTGTCATTCGTCATGTCTTCGTTCATTCCAGGAAATTCAAACGGCAGAAATGAATGCAGAAACTCTCCATCTTCGTTATTCTTCTTCATCTAGCTTCAACACTAGATCACATTCCTCCATTAACGGATTCCAATTTGAAAATATGGAAATGGAAGACGACAATAAAATTACGGACATGAAGAAAAGACCGCCTTCAGAGTTCGGTGATTCAGGGTGGTTGAGAAATACATTTTTCATGAGATTGACGGCTAGGGATGTGTTCGGTGTGGTGAAGAATCATCCCATACCGTGCATCTTCGCTACCACGTTGCTCTTCTTCATGGGCGTGGAATATACTCTTCATATGGTTCCATCTTCGTCCCCGCCTTTCGATCTGGGATTTGTTGCTACGCGTCCCCTGCATCGTTTGCTTGATTCAAAACCTGCTCTTAATACTGTTCTTGCTGGCCTTAATACGGTACGACTTTTAAATAAAATGGTCACACAATTGATGCCAGATCTAATATGCTTTATGCTGGTTCTGTTTTACAATTTGCCAATTCATTGATTCATCATACAGGGGTTTGTGGGAATGCAAATGGTGTACATAGTATGGGCTTTCTTAATTGAAGGGCGACCAAGAGCGACTATTGCAACTCTGTTCATGTTCACATGTAGAGGCATTCTTGGATATTCCACGCAGCTGCCATTACCAGAGGTAAGCACAAACCAATAAATGTATACAAGTATCTTATTTCCATTTTGTTCGTAAACAAGAATCAAGAAAAATCTCAGTACACTAAGCGTTGAAAGTAGAAAATTTGCGGCCTTTGATTGTTTTCTGGTTTGTTAATGTAGGATTTTCTGGGGTCGGGAGCTGATTTTCCAGTAGGAAATGTGTCGTTTTTCTTGTTCTATTCGGGGCATGTTGCAGCATCAGTGATTGCATCGCTGGATATGAAGCGTATGCAGAGATGGAAATTGTCTTATTTATTTGACACCTTGAACGTATTACAGACGGTGAGATTGTTGAGTACCAGAGGCCATTACACTATTGATTTGGCTGTTGGAGTTGGTGCTGGAATTTTGTTTGATTCTCTCTCTGGAAAATATGAGGAGAAGAGGAAAAAGGAATTGCTCGCAGGCAGCCCTGATGGCTCTACTAATGGTGCGTTTCATAACTCGAAATTACATGAAAATGGTGAATATTTAAGTGTTTCTGCAGATTAGAACTTCCCATTCCAGCATTTCATTCTTTTCAACTGTAAAAAAACACCTTTACTATAGTGTTAGTATGTTACAAATTTCAATTTCCCCAACAAAATATTCAGTTATGAACACATTACTCATCACAAAGGGGCAATTCGAAAGCTCTACATGTTATAGCAAATAGAACTCTGCAAGTCACAAATCATCTCCTAAAACATTCTACATCAAGTTTTAATAACAGATCCAAGTGTACCACGACAGAAACAAATACATACACCACAATGCGAGTACTACAGTCCTGGAAACTAGACACTAAACTACCAGAGAATCGAAGTTTACGATTACAATAATCAAATTGAATCTAAAAGTCAGTAAACATGTAACAGAAAATGTCCTAAGGTTGATGCAGATGATGCATCAGCAGCTAATAGGCGCAGGTGATTGATGCTGCTGGGGATGAACCAACCCTGGTTGATTAATATTGTTATTTTCCATAGCTAACTCAGTTCCTTCCGTTTTTTTCTCCTCCTCTTTCGGCCCATCTTCACCATCATTGCTGTGGGCATCCTTAGATACCCCGTCAACAGCATGTTCTGCTTGGCCGGCACTCCCTCCTACGGTGACATTGGTCCCTTCTGCAGCGAGTTCTTCTAGTTTGTTTTGAGACTCCAGCTTTTCTTCAGATACTTGTTTTTCCTCGATACCTGCATTTTCTGACTTGTGTCTACCAACATCAGCACTGTGAACTTCCTCAGATTCAGGCTCTCGCTCGTCCCCAGAGGGCAGTTCAGCACCTTTTAAGCACTTATCTTTTTCCACAGCTTCCACCTCTTTCTTCTTCTTGTCCTCCATTTCAGCTTCTGCATTTTCCGACTTGTCCTGATTGCCGTCATCAGCACTGTGAAATTCCTCCGATTCAGAATCTGGCTTCTCCGCAGGGGGCAGTTTAGCATCCTCTATGCGCTCATCTTCTACCACAGCTTCCGCCTCTTTCTTCCCCTTGTCCTGCATTTCAGCTTCTGCTTCTCCAGCTTTCTTCTCCAAGTTTTCATTTTCTTCTTTGGAAGATTCCATCCCTTTAGTTTCTGCACTTCCCATCTCAGCTTTTGCAGCAGCCTTTTCCTTGCTATCTTTCTTTGTACCAGAGGATGTCCGGCGTTTTTTCTTTGGTGATTCAAGTAGTGAAGGTGGTCTCATTGCCTTGACCTTCTCACTGATCCTTGCTGATCTCCTTGGAGTCTCACCGGTACTCCAATCAAATTCTGATATACCAGGGCTTCCAGGATGTGCTTTGAGATACTGCTCCAACTGTTTGCGGTTTTTGACCTCCTCTCCTGTTGGAGCGATGAATACTACCTCACTCTTCTTCGGTGTACCCCCTTGCTTTGGGGTGAACTGCAAAATGACAGAGGTAAAATATACATCAACTGTAAATGTAAGCTGCAAAACAGCACATATTGAATTCCCTTAAATAGGACTACTCCTACGTCTCCCAAGAAAGCCCAGAGTACACTGCATAACATCACTACAACAAAACAACTTTTATCGGCAATAAATACACATTAATAAAAAGAGTGTTTAAGTCTTTATACCGACATTAGTTAAGTGTCTCGCTAAGGACATATACAAAGAGTGCTAATTGCCGCTAAAAATACATATTAAGCGGCAATTGAGTTAATTAATTGTCACAAAAGATCAATTTTTTATGTATTGCGTTGTCCAACTATCCATCTTCAGCACAGGTATAAACTACTCTCTCTACCTTTCACATGCAAGGTTGTTTGCTGACTCCTTGACGAATAGGAAGAGTTACACTAATAGTGAAATTAGTGATAAGACTTCACAATTCTTAAATAAGAGGCTAGACTCCACTATCACAATTCTAACGACGGACTATCTGAGCTGTCAAGAAAAATGTTAAAAGACCGTAAACAAAATATGAACAAGGTATAAAGACAAGGGACTCCAAGGGGTGATAAATAGAAGGATCGAGTTATAACGGTTATGACCCAACACACTAATACCAAGATGAGGATGTCCAGGTCAATATTGGTTGGTTCAGGGTGTAGCCTAGCTGTTATGTTAACGAAGTGATTGAGAGCCATGAAGTCTTAAGGTTCAAATTACGGTAGAGGCAAAAACACTAGGTGATCCTTTCCATTTATTCTAGCCTTCGATTGACGGAGTTGCCTAATACTTGAGAGCCATGAAGTCTTAAGGTTCAAATTACGGTAGAGGCAAAAACACTAGGCGATCCTTTCCATTTATTCTAGCCTTCGATTGACGGAGATAAGTTACCTGATACTTGTTGCAGGTGAAAAGTGGAAGATATTCATGAAATTAGTCCAAGGGCGTCAAAGCTGGCAATTCTTTAGTTTATCGTTATCTTCCAGTCACTAAAGTAATTATCTTAGCCCAAAATAGAAGGTTTAACAATCAACCTGTTCAGATCGCGCTCTTTTTAGCTCATCTCATCCCAACCTTTGGTCAGCCAATACAGGTATAACTAATTATACTGCATCAGTAAGTTAACTAAGACTTAAACAGTCAAATTTACAGACAGATGCAAAGCTAATTGATGATGCTACACTTGTTAACAGTGAAACTTCCTCAAAAACCCCAATTTTTCCACCAAGAAACCAAAAAAAAAATTAACCAGAACATGATCATGCTTCCTATTACATGAATTTTGTGAACCAAAAGACTAAAAATTAAGCTGACAAACACCTACAGAAAGTTCAAACTACCACAGAAAATGAATTAAGGCAACAAAAAAGCAAAAAAAATAAAATTGTACCAATTTTTTCCAAGAAGGAGGTGCAGGAAGCTCCACCGACACAATTTCATCATCATGACTCCCCTTCTCCATAGGACTTGCCATGGTTAGAAAAAAAAAATTCCAACTTTGTTTACAGTAAAATAAAATTCACAAAGATAGAAATTGAAGTAAAGTTTGTGATGGGCATGTATGAAGTTTTGCAGTAAAGAGGTTGTGTTTTTGATTAGATAAAACTTGGCTGATAGCAACCGCCACGCCGTGAAACAGATAGACCACACGTGCCACGTAGCCAACTTTCAAGGACAAACGAGCCTTATCAGTTAACACATCCAAACCGACAATTTCCTCTTATGACTCCTCTTTCCCATTTTATCATTATGATATTTAAGGAAAATAAATTAATTTATAATGTTTTTATCTAGAATAATTTTTAGATAAACGGTATATTATTACCTTCTATTAAAAAAATATTTTATTATAATAAAGTGACTTTTTCTTGAAATTGACTAAGAAAATCAGGTGTCACCTAAATTACGTGACATCCTTCTTTTTTTGGTTCTCCTAAAAGTATATCATTTTATTATAATTAAAAATAATTTAATTTTCGTACTTTATTTTACCTCTTAATAAAATGTTTATCAAACTAACAAATATTCAATCATTATTTTAGATGTTAAATTTTAAAAAATAAATTCTCTAAATAATACATGTTAAGTCAAAAAATTTGACATAAATGGAATTGGGAGGGTAATACAAATTTTTTTTAATAATCACACAAATCTTATGCAATATTCAAGATCATAATGAGGCTTTATTATAATAATAAATAAAAAATATCACGCCACACAATCTTCTTCGAAATACAAATGATTTGATTTATTTTGCAATTTAAAATTCTAAATATCTTATATCCTACACGGTCCAAATGGCATATTCGAAGGTGAAGATTCGTTGGTTAAAGTTGTTTCCACTAAATATCTTCAAAACACGTATACTCCGTTTTAAAAAAAAAAAAGATTTTCTTTTTTAGTTTATTTTTAAAAAATATTTTTTTTATAATATTTTAATTTTAATTTATGATATGGTATATTTAAAGTCACATAATTAAAGATTATTTTATTTATTTAACATAATTTTAATTTAAAATTAAATTATTTTTAAAAAAAAATCGTATTAGATCAAATTAGATTAGTGGGCAGAGTACATCTTAAAATTTTAAAAATGCTTTATAGAAGGGTCCTTAGAAGTGATGTGGGCACTTATGATGCTGTCTATTATTTCCCAACCTCGACAGAGCGTGTCGATCACGCAAGATTTTCAGTCGTCAGATTTGAGGTGGTGTATTGCACGCTCTATGGGGAACAATTTTGTACGGACTGCGGGGGAACATCAAACATGGGACCCGTTGCTAATGGATATGGTTTCGGATTTTGGTCCCCCAATTATGCGCTATTAATCGAATTGGAATATGAATTTTAGGTCCGGACACTCGGACTTTATCACTTTTTAAAAATTTTGACATGACATATCAGTATAATTTTATGATTGAAGTTCGTTTTCGTACCAAGGATAATATAAATTAATTTTAGAAATTATTGTTTTGACCAGAAAATATGATCGAAATAATATTTTATGTATTTTATTTATTTAATTTTAATATTTTTAACTTTAAAAAAATCAATTTTTTTAAAAATATCACAAGTTTTTAAAATTTCTGGACAAAAAATTACGTATGCTAGTATTTTCTACTTTATTTCATATGGTATTATTTAACTTAAGATGTCAAGAAAAAGTAAGATTCTTAAAATTTGTTATTTAAAATAATATTTAGATATTTTTATGATTGAAAATTATTTTATTAAAATTAAAATAAAATATTTTTAATTAAATTATTTCTGATTATAATAAAATAATTTTTTTCATATAATCTGCACAAAATACGAGGGAGAGAGTATTTCATTTTTTGGCATATATAGCGTACAAACAAGTTTGACAGTTCATATGGTGCATTGTTTAGATCTTAACAAAGATTTTCTTCTTGCTTCCTGTAAGTCTGCGTCTGTATATACGATTTAAATAGTGAGTATAAAAATTGAAATTTTTTTAATAATTTTTATAATTTGTAAAAGTTTTGTGTGCGCGAAAATAAATAAATATCCAAATTACATGTATATAACTCCAATTTATATATTTATTTGATTTTATATCATGATTTCGTATATATATATATATATATGCTCAAATTGATCGAAAAAATAAGAGAAATATATATAATAGCAAATATTTAAATCAAAATAAATATTATAACTATTCTTTCATATATTTTTAGTTAGCAAATCTTACTTGATTTTTGTCATTTGATTGTGGCCCGCTAAATTTAAAAAATGGAAGATTTATTTTTATACAAACACCTTCTCTATCTTTTCTCTCCTATTTTCTGTCGATTTCTCCTCAAATCAATTTTTTAAAAAAAATTGGTTGGGCCACATATTTTAAGAAATAGAAGATTTATTATTTTTATACAAATCTTTTCCTATTTTTTCTCTTCGAGTTTCTTTTGATTTCTCCTAATCTCTTCAAATTATTTTTTTTTAAAAAAAATTATGTATGATTTCCAATAGATTTTAAATTATATACATATTACACTAGTACAAAATCATATATATATAGATTTCACTTATACATATACGTACGTATATACATATACAATTAACAGTCTAATACAAAGAACATATACATGTACTATTAATAGCTAATACAAAATTTTATTTATATACCAATCCCATATATATAAACCGTGGAATATACAATAATATAGTTATATATACATATTCATATACAAATTTATATTTAAATACATATAATAACATATACAACTGAAAATCACCACTAAAAAAACATATAGTTATACAACTTACAGGCAAGTAAGTTTCTTATTTATACACAAATTTCAAATATATACTTATACAATTGGAATGAATACCAAAATATACAAATTAATAATCGCCCTATACACTTATAATTATACAATACAAACATTTTCATGCCCAAGTTTCTTTTGTCTTTCTCTCTTTCTCGTTTTATACAAATTCAAGTTATATATAATTTATCTCTTCCTCGTTTTATACAATTCTCTTCAATTGTATATGTATAGCGAATTATACATATATATATATATATACTATGGAGTGCAAATTTTGTTATATCATACAAATATTAATTTTGTATTTGTTATATGTGAAAGTTGCCCAAAAAATAATAACCAACAGAAAAAAAAAGAGACAATTTGGAGTAGGACTTAATTGTCACACTTGATCAGAAACAGTCATAGACCAGGCCCAAATTTTAGCCCAGTTTGTTAGGAATGAATTTCCACTTTCCAGAGCCCAGTAAAGATTGCATATACTCCCTCTTTTCCATTAATGAGATAATTTTTAGATTATGAGAGTGAAAACTTTTAATTTTGATCATAATTTGGGGAAAAATAAATAAATTTTACATATTCGAAAGAGTCCAATTAATTTGAACCAAGAAGCCATTATAATCGAATTCATCCACTATAATTTGAATAATGATAATTTCTTCGATCTTGTGTATTATTATTGGACTTGAGACTGTGAGTATTCATTTATCGACGTACGATATAATTCCACTGAGCTCTTTTACTTCTTCAATTCCTCCTCAGCATCCCACAAGAACCTAGCATATGATGCCACTACATAACTGCGCAACAATAGTAATCCATGTATTAAATTAAAGTATGTTCTGAATAAATTGAAGTTTAATCACTTAACTCCTTTAGATTAATGATTTAAATTATTTTTTAGAAAAGGTTTATACCAATCATGAGGGTCAAATTTAACAGCTTGATCAAAATAAGCATTGGCACGAGATGCATTTTTTTGAGTTAACCAAATTAGATCTGCATAAAGTGACAACACATTCCCATCCATTGGATTTAACACTACAGCTCTTCCGCAATATTCTTCTGCTTTTACTAAATCCCCCTTAACCTGTTTTTCCAAAAACATAATCTCCATATTAATTACACTTGTTTTGATAAAAACAAATCACATGTTTCAATTTGATTGTTAGTGATTTGTCCTGACTTATCATGAAAATTTAAAAAGTAAAAAAAAAAAATTAAACTCATATAAACTGTATTTTCTCCGTGTTATTTTATATGTCATATTTTTACTTTGCATTTGCATTAATAAATAATGTTACTTTACCCTTCAACCCTTATTTTCTTTTTTTGAAACTCAAGTTTTCAATCAACAAATATGAATTAATTTATTTTGATTAATTCATTTAAATAATGAACATGAATCATTGCTTCGTTTTTTTCTAAATTGATTAAATGTATATTTTCAAGGCTAATAACTCATAAGAATAAGAAATGAATAATATATATGATAATTTATATATTGATTTTATAAAATAACAAGTATTATAAATCAACTATTTATCAAAAGAAACTACCTACAAAATGGAACTATTATGATCTTAAAATTTAGGAGCATTTACCAAAAAAGGAAAGAATGTTTATCGTTAAATGGATCAAAAAGAAAAATAGACAAACAAACTGGACTAGCAGAATAATATTAATACTCTGTTTTGTTTATTTTAATTTATCTATTATATTGAAATATTTATTTTTACACGTAAAGTTTAGAATTCAAATTTTTTTTACTATTTTATATCTATTTTACTTTTGTTAATAAGTAATATTTTCTCCGTTTCATTTTATGTGACAATTTTTTTTTGATCATTCTAAAAGAGAATGTCATATTTTCTTATATGGTAAGTATTTAAAGGTGTAATTTCTCTTTTACCTTTATTGATCCTATTTAGTTTTAAATAGTACTTTAATACATTTACGAGGAGAAAGAAAAATGAATCTACTTATGAAGGACAATTTAATAAACAATTCAAAGTCTTCATTTATTTTTTAAACTTTGTGCCTGATCAAATAATATCACATAAAATGAGACGGATGAAATTTTACTTTTTACGCTCTGTATTAATTTTTGAGGCATTTTAATATTTTAGTCTGTGTCTGAAAAAGACTCTAACACATGCATCATTAGAAATAATTTAAGTATCTAACATTAGTTTTGTGCACGCTAAGTCAAAAATTGTCAGGTAAAGTGAAACAAAAAGAGCAATAATTAAGGATAATATAGTATACATTATTATTCATCGTCTCTTAAGCATGAACATAATCATAGATTCGAAGGAAATATTATCTTCGTTCATTTTTAATTGTTATTGTTTTTTTAGAGTTAAAATGATAAGAAATTTGACAAATATAGTAACATTTTACGATATATTATTCATTATATTGATATGTAAAAATTTACAATTTATATTATTTTTCAAATAATTTATGAATATTTAAATTTTATTTTTTAAAATATCAAATTAACGTAATCTAATATAATTTAAAAAATTAATCAAATTATTTTTCAAAAAATGCTATAATTAAGACTATCAAAGATATAATGTTAATTCACGATAGTTTACGTACCTCTTTCAAAAACCTTGCGTAGTTTGCGAGTAAAAGTGCATTTGTCGGGTAAGTTTCGATCATTTTCTTGTAATACGCTTCTGTATTTTCATTCCCATGCCAACCATTTGAATTATCCGAACCTGAACCCGAACCCGAACCATCTCCACCTCTGCCACCACCGGTCCAACGGCCACCGCTGTAGACTTTACCTCCGCCTCCGTCTTCCGGTGCAGCGCAATAATCCTCCGATGATCCGAATTTCGTCGTCTTAACTTCGTCATTATAAGTTGATGATGATAATTCTATGTTGGAACGAGAATTCCTTTTGCTTATTTTGTTCATAGGAATATTGTTTTTCTTCTGATCAGGACCGTCCATTTCTCTCCTATTGCAATAACAGTAATTTTCATCATAATTAAGCTGAATGGACGTTGATAATGGGGTTCTGAAATTGGATATCCATGAATTAAGTATGCAATTCGATGATGATGAGCTTCGTAATAACATTGCATATATTAGAAGAGAGATAAAATTTGTGTCCTGATGTCTTGGTTACATCCATGATTTTATAAAGGAGAATGTTACTATTTTCTTAGTTCGAAATAAAAAAAGACTTCTGAATTTTGTATCCGCATCAAATTTATTATACGCTTTAAGCATATAACGTGCAAAGTTATAACTGAAAAGTTGACAAAAAATAAAAGATTTTATTTGTCTTAGTTTATGTGGCGCTTTTCGAATTTTGAAATTTAAACAAGTCTATTTTTAACCGTAAATTTTTCTTACATCTTTTTATTATTGTGACTTATAGTACATTTTATATAATTTATAAATATATATATTTCATTTTAAAAAATTGAAGAATTCACGCGCAAAATTTTAATCAAACTTAAATTGTTTGACTATAAAAAATAAAAATTATCACGTAAATTGAGAAAAGGAAGAATATTTCTTTTTTTAAAAAAAAGATATTTTTTTCGATTCATTTGACTTGACAATGAGCTTGTTAGTAACATGATACACTTTAATTAAATTAAATTGGTGTCTCTTTAAAAAGAAAAAAACATCTAGGATTTTATAGAGGAAAAAATCACGCCCTCCCTTCCTTTTTGGTAATTTTCCATTTTAGCTTTTGCATGTTCTTAAGAGATACTAACATGATTATTTTATTATTATATTCATATAAATTCATGTATGGTTAAAAATTGTGCAAAATAATTTGAAAAATAAATTAGTAACATAAAGGATAAAACATTATTATGTATTACCAAAATTGATAAATAAAAATAACAATGTCATTTAATATAATGAACAAATAAAATCAGTACTTCAGTAATTAAGGACCGTTGAAAAGAAATAATATGGAACAATTTAATTGTTGCATGTGATAAAAATAATATTATGATATATTTTTTAATATAATGAACAAACTAAATCAATACTTCAATAATTAAGGATCGTTGAGAAAAAATAATGTGGAATGAAATAATTATTGCATGTGACGGAAATAATAATATACACTTTTTATATAATGAATAAATAAAAATAGTATTTCAATAATTAAGGACCGTTCAGAAGAAATAATACAAAATCATATAATTGCTTCATGTGACGAACATATTGTTGAAACAATTGAACAAGATGAAGAAGAGCAAGATGAAGAAGAAGAAGAAGGATCTGGAAGAAAATATCTCCACTTCTATTTCATTAGAAAGGAATACAAAAGCTCTTAATGAAAACAACTAAAAACTACTTTATATAGAACTTAAAATACTAACTAATCTAACAGATTCTAACCGTAATTTGTTATAACTAATTTTAGTTAGCTAAGTAATAACTCCTTTCTCATTACTCCCCCTCAAGCTGGTAGGTGTGAATACATTCAAAACTCCCAGCTTGGAAACCAAATGCTCATGTTGTGCTCTTGCCAGCCCCTTTGTCATAATGTCTGCTTGCTGTTCTTGTGTCCTTAGATATAGTGTTTGAATTAACCCCATTTGTATCTTTTCTCTGATGAAATGGCAGTCGACTTCAATGTGCTTTGTTCTTTCGTGGTAACTGGATTAGCTGCTATCTGTAAAGCTGCTTTGCGGTCACAGAAAAGCTTTACAGGTAGATGTATTTCTTCCCCTAATTCTTTGTATAATGCAATGATCCAAACTAATTCTGATACAGTAGAAGCCATGCTTCTATACTCTGATTCGGCTGAACTCCTTGATACTGTTGTTTGTTTCTTTGACTTCCAAGAAATCAAATACTCTCCATGTTTGATTAAGAACCCTGTCACTGATCTTCTTGTATTTGGACATGCTGTCCAATCTGCATCACAGAAGGCTATTAATTCTCTGTCTTTCTTGCTGCTCATCAACACTCCCATTGCAGGTTCTCTTTTTATGTATCTAACCACTTTAAGAGCTGCTTCCATGTATGATTTCTTTGGACATTGCAGAAACTGACTTAAAGTTTGTACTGCAAATCCAATGTCAGGCCTAGTTAGTGTCAAATATAATAATCTTCCAATTAATCTTTGGTATGGACCCTTGTCTGCCAATACTTGATCATCTGTAATATTCATGGCTTCATCTAGCAATGTATTTGTTAACTTCCAAGTTGATGTCCAGTGGTGTCCAAGATGGTTTAGCTGCAGTCAATCCCATCTCCTCTATCAATTCTAAAGCATATTTTCTTTGGTTCATCAGTATGCCCTTTTTTTGATCTGCTGAATTCTATGCCAAGGAAATATCTCAAAATTCCAAGATCTTTAATCTTGAATCTAGCATGTAATTCTTATTTGGTGTGCCTATTAACACCAAATCATTTCCAGCTATCAACATATCATCTACATACACCAAGATCACTATTATTTGTGTATGATGTTTCTTTATGAACAATGAATGGTCTAGGCTGCTCTGATTAAAACCAAGATCAACTAATGCATCACTCAATTTTACATTCCATTGTCTACTTGCCTGTTTCAATCCATACAATGATTTTACTAGCCTACACACCATTCCTGAAGTCTCCCCCTGGCTAGAAAAACCTTCAGGCAAAGACATGTACACTTCTTCATGTAAGTCACCTTATAAAAAGGCATTATACACATCCATCTGATGTATATGCCAATGAGATCCTGCAGCAATTGATAAAACACTTCTTACTGTGACCATCTTCACAACAGGTGAGAATGTATCTTGATAATCAAGACCCTCCCTCTGATTGTAACCTTTGGCAACTAATCTAGCCTTATATCTCTCCACTGTACCATCAGCCTTAAACTTGATCTTGTAAACCCATTTACAACCAATAGGTTTCTTGTGAGAGGGTAAAGATACTATAAGCCATGTCTTATTTGCCTCAAGTGCTTGGATCTCTTCTTTCATAGCTGAAATCCATCTAGGATCTGAACATGCCTCCTTGTAAGACTTAGGCTCAGTGATACTAGAGAAAGCACACAAATAGGACTGATATTGTGAGGATAAATTGGCATAATGCAAACAATGTGATAAAGGATGATGTAATGAAGTAGAAGCAGCATATGTGACAAAATCAGTCATCCATGTAGGTTGTTTCCTAACCCTATGTGACTGTCTCAAAGGCATAGAGTTAACACCAGCAGGCATAGTAGAAATATCAACATCATCAACCTCAATATTAGGAACAATGTCAGGCCTAGCAAGAACATCGGGTGGAGGAGACAAATGTGAGTCATTAATGGGAGAATCTTCAGTGTTTGTAGATATGTCCAGGAAAACAGTAGGAGAAGGAAATGTATTCTGGAAAGGAAATGAATCCTCCCTAAAACTAACATCTCTAGATATGAAAAAATTATGAGTTATTAGATTATACAACACATAACCTTTTGTAACTTCAGAGTAACCCATATGTACTGCAGGAACAACTTTGGCTTCAAACTTATCTCCAGGTGGTAAACACTTAGCATAACATAAACAACCTATTGTTCTGAGGTGTGTTAAGGACCCTTTAACACCATGAAACACTTCAAAAGGAGACTTGTTGTTGAGAGCTATAGATGGCAATCTATTCATCATATACACAGCCCCAAGCACACAATGACCCCAGTATGTAATAGGTATAGAACCCTGAAATCTGATAGCCCTGGCTAGTTCTAGAATATATCTGTGTTTCCTCTCCACCACTCCATTTTGTTGTGGTGTGTAAACACATGTTTTCTGATGTACGATACCAAGAGATGTAAACAAAGCATGACAACTAGAATTGACAAATTCAGTCCCATTATCTGATCTCAATACTTTGACCCTTTTTCCACATTGTGTACTGACTAGCTGAAAAAAATTTCTTAACACTACCACCACATCATTCTTTAATTTCAGCAAAAATATCCAAGTCATACGAGAATGATCATCCACAACAGTCAGAAACATTCTATAACCATCAAAAGTAGGAACATGAAATGGTCCCCATACATCCAAGTGCAACAAATCAAAAATACAAGAAGATCTATTCTCACTATTAGGAAAGGGCAATCTGGTTTGTCGAGCTAATGGACACACATCACATTTGTCTAAAATCCTTTTGCATTCATTAGGATCAATATTAAAAAAGTGACTCATAGTTCCTACAGATGCATGACCCATCCTTCTATGCCAAAGAAGGATGTCCAACTTATTCTTGGAAGCAATCATTCCTTTTGGTGAGCAATCAACACCACTCCCTCTGTGACTCATCAAATAGAGGCCATTTTTTTCTTCACCAATCTCCAGTACCTTCCCACTTGAGAGGTCCTGGAACACACAATAATCAGGGAAAAAATGAACTGAGCATTGTAGTTCCTTAGTGATCTGGGATACTGAAAGCAGATTATATCTAAAATCTGGAATGTATAAAACATTTTTCACAGATCTTCCATCCATCAATTCACAACTACCAATATGTGATACCTCTACGATCCCTCCATTTGGCAAATGTACTTGTTTATTATAATCAGTAACAGGTTTTCTAAAATTCAACATCTCTTTATGAGAGATCATATGGTTGGATGCACCTGTGTCTATTATCCATTCCTTATCATCATTACATGCATAGGAAGCAAATGCTTTAGAAAAATTACCTCCCATATTTGAATCAGATAATCTGCACATATTTGAAGAGGAAGGTTCTGGTACATCATCAGCCTTGTGCTTTCCCAGATTAGACTGATTGAGATGTGATGATTTATCATATTGCTGCATCATCTGTGGGTGTTGTGAAGGAATTTGGAATCTATTCCAATCAGCATGAAGATTATCAGTTCTAGGATAGTTATTGTAACCTTGATCATTACGAAAATTCACATGAGCTGCTCAAGCTTGTGATCCATCATTGTGTGATCGACTTTCCTCATCCCTCACATTGTGAGCATGACTTCGATTCTCTCCTTCCTTCTCATAAGAATCATTTTGCTGCCCAACTTTCTTCTTGAATCTGAAGTTGGAAGGATATCCAATTAACCGATAACAATTGGCTTTAGTATGACCCATCATCTTGCAATGATCACATTGAGCATTCCAGTCCCTTTTAAACTTGCTAGGAACTTGACGAGCAGTCATAAGAGCTGCTATCTTCAGATTAGTAACATTCCTGGCTGAGTTTGCTATGACTCGTTGACTTTCTCTTTCAATCATCATTGAATAGGCTTGATTAACAGAAGGAAGAGGAACTAGCATCAAGATCTGACTTCGAGCCTGCTCATAAGTCTCATTAAGACCCAGTAAAAATTGTAACAACTTCTGTTGCTTCATAAATTCTACAAAACCTCTCGATTCTGTGCAATTACAACCAGGAAAAGGCGCAATGCAATCAAATTCTGCCCAGCACAATCTGAATTTTGTGAAATACTCTGCGATCGTACTCGTACCCTGTACCAATGTGACAATTTCTTTATGTAGTTGAAAGATCCTTGATCCATCCGTCTTATCAAATCTCTCCTTAAGATCTCGCCAAACAGAACATGCATCTGTAGAGTAAACAATTCCACCCAATAATTCCTTTGAAACACAATTCATGATCCATGAAAAGACAATTGCATTGCATCTCTCCCACAAATCACTCAGATTAGGACCAAATCCATCCTTCCTGCACTTTCCATCGATTAGCCCCAACTTGTTTCTTCCAAGTATGGCTATTCTCATCGATCTGCTTCACACAGAATAATTCTCAGCACCTGTAAGTTGAATGGAGATCAATACAACTCCAGAAGTGTCTGCAGTACTCAAAAAAAGAGGATGATTGTGACTAAGTTTTTTCGGTAACTCATTGTCGACAGTAACAGCCATTGTTGAGCTTCACCAACGGCTTTAATTCTACCTTGCTAAACTTCAATTCAGACCATATCAATGGCTGATTGCTCTGATACCATGTTGAAACAATTGAACAAGATGAAGAAGAGCAAGATGAAGAAGAAGAAGGATCTGGAAGAAAATATCTCCACTTCTATTTCATTAGAAAGGAATACAAAAGCTCTTAATGAAAACAACTAAAAACTACTTTATATAGAACTTAAAATACTAACTAACTAATCTAACAGATCCTAACCGTAATTTGTTATAACTAATTTTAGTTAGCTAAGTAATAACTCCTTTCTCATTACATATCACAGTTAGTGATTTTATTTAAGCACGGGCACACACGAATGTATCACAGTATGAATGATTTTATTTATAGAAATGTTTTCTTTTTATCAAATATTTATAGAAATATTACTGTATATGTGATTTTAATTTTTATAAGAATAAATAAGTACTGTAGTGGCCATTATTGATTTGATAAGTAAAACGTTATCTTTACATCGGAAAATTTGACGCTCACCGATTTAAAATTTATAAAATTTTGTATCCGTTGCTTTGCTTTTCATTTTCTTTGCAAATATACTTTTATATTTATATATTTTATTAAATAAATTAGTCATTTCGACAACAACAAAAAAATTATAGCTTATCAACACTTCTTTTAGTGGACAATTGTTCTTCTTTAGTTTCTAACGTGTATATTCTATCCAAATATGTAGTTAGTTTATTTATAAAATTAACTTAAATACTTAAAACTTATTCTGTCGCAATTTATGAAATATTTTAATATAGTTTTAAAGAATAAGTGGATTAATGGTTGAAACTAATTAAATTAGTTTCGATCATTTCAATATTTTAAAATTTAAATATATGTTTTTAGTTCGGGAAATACATCCATGTTGGATGTTGCTTCGTGATACCATATAAATGTTAATTAATCTTATATGTATATATATATTTACGTGGTATTTTTCTTTTTTGAGAATCAAACCGTTTAAGTTTGATTGAAAATTTGCAGACGGAATCTTCAATTTTATTAGATTAAATTTAGATATTACTATTTGTAAACTATACAAAAAAATACTATAAATCATTAGAATTAATAATATAAATTGTTTGAAAGATATATTGAAAAATTTACTGTCAAAAATAGATTTGTTTGAATCTCGAAACTAAAAAAGCTTTACGTAACAAGGAACATTAATCAGCTATTGACTGGTCGCTCTCTGCTTGTTTTACTTGTTAAATTGCATCCAATGTTATTCCGACACGATCCATGAACCCTCATGGGTTTTACTTTGGACATTTCGACGGCCCAAAAATTGGGGGACGGCCCATAATCATTCTAGCGTCGCTCTCTCACCAAGTGACGATGAGCAACGTCAAATTCTGAGACATAAATTTAATTTCAGAATCAACAAAATTATATTACCAAAGACATAACTTATCCTTATATTATAAAAACTTTTATTAGACAAAGCCATTTCACTTGTTAATTTAAATTTTATTGGACAAGGCCATTTCACTTGTTAATTTAACTTAGATTTCTCTGAGTTACCTATTTCCTTTTGCCATGTTTGATTGATTAATATCTTCCCCCCTCCCCCTCCCCCCCTCCAAAAAAAAAAAAAGAGTTACTTTGCGTCTCAATCTTTTTAATAGAGAAAATCTTAAAATAAAGTGTTGTAAGGTTCAAAAGTAGCGAATAATGCACTTACTCATCTATGTTTTTCTACTTAATAAACACCACCTGGGTCTTTTTTTAATTTTATGATCGTTTGAATTTTATGAAAAAAGCTTAAAAGATTTTTAATATATTTTATTTTTAGGTCATCAATTTTATTAACTCATCGTGAGTAATAAAAGAATTTTTAATTAATAAATATAATCTAAATGTTCACACATATATTGTACTTCAAATGCAACAACGACACGAACACAAAATAGAAGGCAAAAGAGGTCCCTCTTCCAGGCTGAATACTAACATCGATTTCTTTTTTGGCACAATCTATTCTGCGTTCCATATTGATTTGTCACCTGGACTGCACTTATTCTTCATTCAAAAAGGGCCAAACATGTACTAATAGTTTTAATTGACACCAACGATGGAATATGAGTAACTTAATTATCATACCGTTCTTGTGCCATTATCTTTACAACTCACCATAAATTTCTAATTTCTCTGAGTGATTCATCAAAATATCCTTGTTTGTCTAAATTTAACTCATATTAATCGATCGATTATGCTTCTTTGTCGGATTGGTCACATCATAATTATCTAGATAAGTTCACTTCCATGATAAGATAACAAGCAATAATACGAGAGGTGAGGACAAGAACAATCACTCTCATAACCGAAGTCGTCACACATTTACGTACTTTGATGACATCAATGACAAGTGTCTATCTAAAACAATCTATCTACCTTTTCACAGACAAGAGGTAACTAACCCCTCTTGGTGGAAGGTGATTACTTCAAAAAAGAGAACAGACTCTCTCGTTCAACGCCATGGTATGAAAGTTCGTTGAACGAGTTCTCATTTTTTTCCGTAAATCAAGTTAATAGAGCATAAGAAAGTAATGTCTGCTGAAAGAACCAGACGAGAGTCATCAGTTTTTATAAACGTCAACAGGTTTCCTAGCACAATAGTTCGTTTAAATGTACACAAGGTAGGTTACATATATATCTTTACAAAACACCCCATATATCCAGAAACCTCTTCGACACAAAGCAAATCAAGTTTACATCATCCTGCTACTCTCCCTTGAAGATTCGTCTGCAACCTTAGCTTGCAACACATCTCAATCATACATTCCTTCCTGCTCCCAAACATCTACAAGAAAATCTACCATTTCCTGTTTTTTTTATATGATGAGCCGACAACAGTTAAATAAAGCACATGGTTAGAACGGTTGGAAAGTTGAATAGAGCACAGTATGATAAGCATTCAATATATTTTAAGCTTTTTCAACAAGCAGTCTTACAGCAAGTGGGATACGCTTGGGAAATGGCTTGTTGCTCCCCAGCAGACTATCATAAGTAGCATTCCAACTGCAAAAATAAAATTACTATTGAAGTATGATCCATCAATGGAAAACATTTACTTGAGCACAGAACCAAATATCCAAAGTATGATTATTCCTGAAAAATCCATGCTGAACATCTAAATTCCATACTCATCCAAATCCCAGACAAGCATCATCCTCTTATCTAAAAACTTAAAGCTGTTAGAGAGACTTATATTGTTTAATTATATTCTCAACCCGCCCCTCCATGTGCGGGCCAGATTCTTTTTTCAAGGGCTAAGCACGTGACTTCTTTTTGACATGGATGAAGGTGAGATTAGTTCTCTGGACCTCTACCTACCTGTTGAAGTGTGTGACTATCTCTATCTAAAAGCTTAAGCTGCTAGAGTGAGCACACTTTTATTATTAAATTATATTCTCAACAAAGTTCACATTGGATATTTACCTTTAAGGAGTTTTATGGAGTTTGACTTTTAGAATTAGTTACACCAAGTCTTAATTAAACAAGATCACTGAACCAGAAGGTCTTCGATCCAACTAATAGACTGCTGAATATACTCCTTTGGTATTCCAACTTGCCAAATAAAAATCAATCCTATCAGAAGAAGTTTCGACTCTTTTGTTTGGACCTAGTTTTTTGAAGAGAGAAGATGTAGTGAAATGTTGTGCAGTTGCCATGCCAGAGCACTAGAATGCTACATTTTACGATCAGAATTCAGACACTCAAATACCTAGACAATAACCCATGCCAAAAGAAATGCACCAAATCCAGTAACATATCTTTTAGACTTCATTCTTCCAAATCAGCCTCTAGCACCTTCCCCCCAACCCAACCCAAATAAGTTTCAGCTTAGCATGACAAAATCATCAATTTCTTCATTTTCAATTTAAGAATTATAATTTAGGACAAACTGACAACAGATCATGCCTTGGTTAATGAGAACCTATAACTTGAAATACTACATCATTTGTAGTGAAATTATAGTAAGACTGAGGGGTTCTTGAATTATCAGATAGTTTGGAAAAAATTAGAACATCTAACCTTAATTTGGGTTCAAGAAGCTGTTTTGGTTGCTTCTCCGGACTTTTTCGTCCGACCCACTGCTGTCTGATTTGGTTCCAGCGAATAAATCCTGATAAAGAGAACTAGCTGCATAAGTTAACTCATTGAAATAGATGCAAAAAAAAGACGATAACAAGAACTAAAAAAAACAATAAGGAAAGAGTCGACAAACAAATAAACATATTTTTTCAAAACCTATTGGCTGATCAATCTTAGTCTTAGGACCTTTTTCACACAGACACAATGAGCAAGTTCACAAACTCTTAGAACATCTCTGAGGGCCAAGGGGATTAGCACGAACTATCTGGAACATCCAGATTCTAAAGAACTGGTATTTGAAAAAAAAATAATTAAAATTACTGATATTTAAGATCAAGCAACCACTACTTTATCAAAAAAAAAAACAAGTACCCACTAGATTTGCCAAGTGCAGTAACTTTCTTGCCACATATTTGCTCGTCGGGCCTTATTTGTGTTGAAGACGACCATAAAACACTAGGGGCATTGTGGGAAACACTTCTAGAAGAATAATGACAATTGACAGATATGATCCATGGCTGACCAGAGATCCAACCCACCTAAAAAGATAAAGAGGGGCACCGGGGAACCAAGGAAAGAAATAAATCTATTCCTGAAGCATGACTGCATGAGTACTGCTTTAGCTGTCAAAAGTTCTCATTTGACAAATGACATCTCTTATACTGGTCATGCTGAATAAAGAGTTTTCAATGAAAACATCGGGGTTCATCTAACAACCAGGATAACAAAAAAGGCATGGAATGATATTAAGTTGTGAGCAAGAGAAGATCCAATACATACCATGATTTACAAATTCAGAATGGTTGTTTGTATTTGCAGCGCCATGAGCATCGGGTGCCTGAGTAGATGTACTAATTGACGAGATGCTTCCTTGTGATTGAGCTGCACTGTAGTTGTCCATGTCACCCGTACTGGTACTCCAAAAGTCCGCCGACAGTTTAGCTTTATGTACTAAATGATCTAGATGTTTCTTCTCCTTCAGATGCTCATGAACTGAAGATGTTAATTTGGTTTTACTAACGGACCCCAGACAACCACTGCACTGTTACAAATGACATTTGTTCTGTAAGAACCAATTAGGATACATATACGTAAAAGAGAGGTCTTCTAGTCAGAAAATTCAAAATAATTTCTATGCCGCGTAAACAACGGAAATGATAAATGGCTATAGGGCAAGCAGGATATAACATTTCCACCTCATTAGGATCAACTGTTTCAGAGATTATCAAAACAATATCAACCTCTTCCTTAATGAGGTTTAGAGGCTATACTACTACATATAGTTCATTTGGTTATTGCTAAGTTACAGACTTATGGAGCATCATACGGATGGACAGATTGGGATTTTGGACTATGTGATGACAAGGTCAGTGTAACACTAATTACTAGTAAACATTCTTCTATCATTGATGTAAACAACTTTGAGACCTACATTTTGAGGAAAGTAATTATTTTAAATAACTTCGAGACCTACATTTTGAGGAAAGTAATTATTTTAACTACAGTAAACTCCTAGACTAAATCCTCGGAGACAAGTGAACTACATTTATGCACTTAAAAGCATGTTAAAAATGGTTCCAATACCAAATTATTGGTGTCGAAGAACAGAGAAGAGAAGAATGAGAAAAGAGTATAGATGAGGAGAAGTTTTGGGAGAAAACTAGCAATATCATTTATCATGCTGCAATAAATGTGTTTGATTGAGCTCTTATACTACCTGCTATGTCCACATGAAGTAGGCTGAAAATGAAATAACAGGAGATAAGAAACTAAATTAGGAAAGAAAATGCTAACTTAGGCTAACAAACTTTCCCGCAACAATTAGCTCTTACACACAATTTGAACTAATTACGAGCTTAGCCACTAATCCTGTATCAAGTTTTTCAAGAAGTATCAAAATTATATGAATAAAAAGTTATTCTGCATCCTTCAATTACCATCTTTCGGTCCACCATTATTCTCAATTACTTCATAAAGAAATGAGGGATCTAAAACCTAAAAAATATAAAAACACATCATTTCTGGATTACAAAATTTAGGGAAAATTAAGTACTTTCCCAGTCATTGATTCATTTCATTATTTCATTGATGGGCTTTCACAATGTATGTCAGTGGAAGCAAACGGACAATCAGCTGCCTAAAGGACCCCATTTGTGGTTTAAGGTTAAGTTTATTCTCCTTTCTTCAATATATATATCTCACTCTGCTATGCTATAAACTGAGCAGCTTCATTTTATTACCATCCTCGAGTTCAACACCATTGGGTAAAGACTAAAACTTACTCCTTTCCTTAAGCAATCCTTATCCTTCTCTTGCTTTCTTCTTTTCTTGAGCTTTTATAGAACAGATTTATATCAGGTATAGTTGGTCCGTTAGGATGAAGCTTTAGTAGATATAACAAGTGTGCCGAACTTCTTTTGCTGCTTTGAGGGTATTTTGAGATATATTTAGAACTAAAAAAGAATAATTCTAACTCACTCATAACAACAACAAGCCTGGTCCTAAGGCCATCACTATTCAAAGTTATAATTTCAATAAAAAACACCTCAACCCTAAACTAGTTGGGTTAACTATATAATACTCTCTATCCATTTTTATTGAAGCCCAAGTCAGATGATTATCATATACTCATAGCTAAAACATCTATAATCTTTTCCTCCGGAACCATATCTACTCAAATCCTAACAAAAAAATACCTCATTGAATAAACAAAAATAAATAAAAATTAAGCTATGATAGAGACCAAAAATACATTACCCCATGCATGCGAATGCGATGAATTGGATGAACCAAGCTGAAATAGATCCGATTTGAAACAATGCTGCCACTATAAACAACGAACAGACGAAAACAAAAAATTCACAAGGCCTGCTATTAAAAAAAAACTGTATCAAATTCTTACACGAATCGAAGGTGAAATTGAAGGCAAAGAGATGAAATACCTTTAAGATTGAGAGAGAAAGAGCGATCACTCTCCGGGAGAAAACCTCCAGAAAGTGGATGCGGTGCCGAAACGGAGAAATTGCTTTCAATCAATCATTTGATGGCTATTTTAGCCTCCTCCTATCGTATTTATACATGATCAGCATGGATTAACATTTTATTTTTGGGCCCATGTTGATTTATTTTAAAAGCAGTTGGTAATGATTGTTACGAGATATACGGCATAGTAATTTTGGGATAAAATTTAAGATTATTTTTGTTTCAATTTTTTTTTTTAAAGTTTGGTTGGAAATAATAGTTCTTATTGGATTTGAAAGTAGGGTTATTCAAAATTGCATAAAAATTAATAATTCAAATGAAAAAATTATTTACATGTAATTGATTATTGATTTTGCAATTTGATCATGGTTTTGAGTTTGTTTTTTATTGAACTATCAATATTTTAAAGTTACGAGTGTTTTTCTTAATGAACTAATAGATAATTTGATAGTAATTTAATTAATGGATTATATTTATACCAGTTGGTATATAGAACTGTTGACCTAGGAATTATAGTATCATGCTTTCAGTTTTTGACAGTTTCAAACTCTCGATTATTCTACAACGTGTTAGTATTTTCTTTTGCAAGATGTAATCTTCAATTCATGTGCATGATTCATTTGGTTTATCACTTTTTTTCTAAATTAATTTACAATAATTTTTATGTGCGAAATATTAAAGACCAAACATATAACTAAACGATAATGATCAATAGACAATTAAACCCACTTGTTGATATGTTGATATCTTAACAATGTAGCATATTTACAAACTGATAAGTAAAACTACTAAACTTTAAAATTGAATCAAATTGATCAATGTACAACTCTGCCTTTCATGTACAACTCTATCTGAAAGGCACCAATTCATTATCATTCCATTGCTAAAAAAACTTTAAAATTGAATCAAATCGATCAATGTACAACTCTATCTGAAAGGCACCAATTCATTATCATTCCATTGCTAAAAAAGAGTCGTTCGTTTTTCTGTGAAACTAGCCTCGTACAATCCACCCTGCTATTAGCAATCAAGTAGCCCTTACATTCAATTGGGTCACATGATCCAACTCTAAGGCTGATAGACATTAGCCCACCAAGCCCAATCAGCTAGGACAGCCCAAAGTAGATTTCTAATTGTCAATTAATCTTTTAAAATTAAGACTACTTTTAATCTGTTGTAAATGATGACTATACTTATAATATTGTCACTAGTGGCACCTTTAGATTGTGTTCGAGTATTTATATATTTCTGGTGTCAAATGATCGATTATATCAAATTCGAGAATGTTAAAATAGATTTAGTTAATAAATAAGTAGGTCATGCTTAAATATTAATTGGTATGAAACTCGTTAGCTGGAAATAAATTAAAATTTTAATTTATAATTCAATCTGTTTAATTCTTTCTATATTTAGAATTCAATGTTTGTTTTCTTATAGTTTGTCTAAGTAGCTAATAAAATTAATTTTATGGGGGGTGACTTTCCTTGAATGAGAAATTAGGGCGAACGTGTTAGCTTAGGTGCTAGGGTTGTCAACTACTCAACTTCCTGTTTGTGTATAATATTTTGGTAAAAAAATTCCTAATTGGATTAAATGGATACACTTATACTTGCTATGATATTTCATCAAAATGCCGCTTAGGTTATTCGGAAGATTCTGGAGAAGAAGGTACTTGGGCCAATTTTGGAACCAAGTAATTTAGGATCAAAGTGGAAGGGAGGATGGCGAATGGTTGGAACGGATCGGATTTGAACGAGTTGAAATATAAATTGAGAAAAAAAGGTTTGGATTACCGTTCATCCAAATATAATATGGGTAAATATGGTTTGGACAAAACAATTCTAACTTATTTAAATAGATTTGTTTTTCAAAAAAAATAATATATATTTTACCCCCTCCCCATAGACACCCCCACTTTTCACCAACCGACCCCTAAATCTTTTGTTTTCCAAAAACAAACAAAAAGAATCTGTTTCATTTCACTTATATGGGCTGAATATGAGTTCTCATGTTAATTATTTTGTCCATATTTGTATGAGTTTAAATAGGTTGAAGATCATATTAATCCACTTAAAAAAAATGTGATCCATTAAATTTAGTATGACAAAATAGTTTCTTTTCACTTATATAGGCTGGAATTGCGACCCTGGCGGTGATATCTAGCAAATTTTTTATCCATCATTGTACATCCATCTAACTAGTAAATTTTTTATCCATCATTGTACATCAATCTAACACCACAACGTCCTATGGTAAGTTGGAAGAGCACTGTTATGGAGCCAAAAATCCATCTTAAACATCATTTTATTCTATGGTTAGCAACTTGGAGAATGTTGGCTACTACATAAGTTTGGCATAAATGTGCCCCTGAAAAGTAGCTATTGTGCAGATGCCATAGAAACATTTGATTATCTCTATTTCGAGTGTCCTGCAATTAGAGCTTTGTGGACTAGATTAATGAAATGGTTTGGAGAAAAAAATAGAAAGATGACAACAGGAGCTTGCATGGCCAGAGGTGGCTCAACAGTGTTAAAAAAAAACATTTGCCTTAGTCTTTAAATTTAAGAGGCCTCATTTTTATTAATAATAGGTTATAAATTATTATTTTTTTAACAAATATTAAATACTATTTGTAAAAAAAACAAACTTTTCATGAAAAATGAAGGAATTATTAGAAAAAATTTGACATAGAGTATTATATCTTATGAAAAATAATTTAAAATAAGAATGATTATATTATCAATTGAAAACTAAGAAATCAATTATATAAAAGTTATTAATAATTGAAGTTTAGGGCCCATTTAATTTTTGCTTAAGATCGATAATATGTTTGAGTCGGTCCTGGCATAGGCAAATGGATGGGCAACAAAGAGTAATGGTAATGGAGAAATAATCAAATTAGTATTTACAATGATGCTCTATATTAATTGGAGAAAAAAAATTTCTATCAAATTCCAGAATAAATCATACTAATGTGGTAAGGAGATTGACTTTTACGTCAATCTTTGATTAGTAATCTTTAATCCATGCTAGAGCGGGTTTTGGTAGAATTTGAATAGTAAATGGTCAGCTTTTACTTGGTTTTATAATTACTCTTTCTTTTTATATACTCTTTGTGTTTCAAAAATGATGATCTAGTTTGATTTGAAATAGAGTTTAAAAAAAAAATATTTTTTAATCTTGCAGTTATAAATTAAAGTTATGTTAAATGTATCAAAATGTTCTTTAATCTTATAGTTTTAAACATGTCACGTAGAAAAATTAAAGTTAAAGTGTTGCCAAAAAAAAAATAACTCATTTTTTTTGAACAAACTAAAAAAAAAAATAAAGTTATTCTTTTTGAAACAGAGGGAGTATATCAATAAAGTTGAACAGTTCAATAAAAAAAATCCTTATTTATATGCACATGACATACGTGAGAGTTGAGTTTATAGGAAAAATTCTAGATTTTATTTAAATCTTACAACTGTTTCAACATCATACGGATGGTATGAGGTGAAAATTTCACGTGTTTTTCAATAAAAATAATTTATTTGCCAACTTATTTCATTATATTTCAAAAAAAAAACTAAAAAAAAAATAATTTGACTTATGTAAACATATCATAATACATTTAACCTCTAAATCTGAATCATTGATTACCACACTTCATTCAATCTTAAAAATTAAGAAACTAATCCTATCAACATGAAACCTTATGATTTAATAGCCAAAAATTCAACAAACCATCCATTTTTAGTCAATATATGTTTTATTATCTTTTGCAATGAAAAGAATAAAAAAAGTAGATGAAATATAAATACTTTAGTTTTGCACTAAACATCTATCACTAAATGTATTTGTACCAATATAGAAATAAATTTCACTTATATCTGAATCACAAAATCTAACACAAGAAATAGATGGAAAGCAAATTATATTTGTACCATCACAAAAAACATACGGAAGAACTTAATTTTTTAGGAACAATCGTATCTGAATGAACAAAACGTTCTAATGTAATGTTCATTCATCACGATTTACAACCAAATTGGCTACACAACCTAAAATTTCTTCTCTTAATTGTTCTTTGTTTTTTTTTATAAATTTATCAATAAGAGAATCCCGTAAGATACCCACTTTCTTTGAGAATTCCATCGTACAAAGCTGTAGGATTCGCTGGCATATCCATAATATTCTTCTCACAACATTTTCTATATAGTCTTCTTCTGTACTCCTCCCCATTTTTGCCTGAATCTCTAACATCTGCTGCAAAATGAACCCTTTTCTTCTTCTTTTCACCTGTTGCTGTCAAACGATATGAATTTTGATTAATTATATCGATGCAAAGAAAGATTCAGAATTTACTAATTTCAAAATTTATTTAATTAATTCAATTTAATTTAGAAAATTAATCAAATTCACTAGATATAAGGAAAAAAATCTAGATAAGTTAAATGTTTAACTATCTGAGTATTCGATTCGATTCCCCATGGGTAAAATCTAGATAGGTTAAATGTATGATTATCTAAGCTTTCGATGAATATTCTATTACCCATGGGTAAAATCTAGATAGGTTAAATGTTCGAATATTTGAACTTTCAATGAATATTCAATTCTCCAGGTGTAATCTCATCCCCACCAGCCCCAATTTTACAAAAAAAAAAAAAAACACGTAGTACCGAATTTTCCAGGAGAAATGAAAATGGTATTTATTTATTTTACCTGAAGATAAGCAAGATTTGAGAATAGTTTTTCCCTGTGGAGGATTTTGAGCATTCTTGTTAACTTCAAGCTCTGCATTTGGAAAATAATTTTCCCGAAGGAAGAGAACGATAATGCCGGCTGAAACGGCTACAGCTGTTGCCAAAAAAACGGCTTGTGAGCCCATTGAATAGGACATGGCAGAATCGAATTGATGATCTCAATTCGTATAGCCGGCTGGCTAGCTTGTAATGGATACTTGTTGCAGTGAGCCGTCACAGAGAAGTTGATGGATAGAGTAGAGTAGGTTGGAATCTGGATATCATCGGCTTACTCTTATATATATATATATATATATATATATATATATATATATAATATGGAGTGTATAATAAATGTACAAAAAAATTAAATATAGATAGTATAAATTTTTATTCA